GCTACGCCGCTTTATATAGTCGTCTGCGAGCATTTTTGCAGCACACAAATAAAAAGCGGGAAAGCAGCAGGACCTGACAATATACCAGCTGAAGCTTTGAAGTCAGACATCGAAGTAACTACAAGCACGCTCCATCTTCTATTCGAGAACATTTGGGAGGAGGAACAAGTGCCGATGGATTGGAAAGAAGGACACCTCATCAAGATTCCAAAGAAAAAAGATCTGAGCAAGTGTGAAAGCTACAGAGGCATTACACTACTGTCAATACTGGGTAGTCTTCAACAGAGTGTTACTGAACAGGATGAATGACGCAGTTGACGCTCAACTTCGAGATCAACAAGCTGGATTCTGTAAGGGCCGGTCGTGCACAGGCCAGATTGCGACACTACGGATCATCGTCGAACAATCAATTGAGTGGAACTCGTCACTCTACATCAACTTCATTGATTATGAGAAGGCATTTGACAGTGTAGATAGGAGGACGTTATGGAAAATCCTTCGACACTACGGAGTTCCTGAGAAGATTGTCAACATTATCCGGAACTCATACGACGGACTACAGTGCAAAGTAGTGCATGGAGGACAGCTGACAGAGGCATTCCAAGTAAGGACCGGAGTAAGACAAGGCTGTCTACTCTCTCCCTTCCTGTTTCTTCTGGTGGTCGACTGGATTATGAAGACCTCGACATCTGAGGGAAACTACGGCATACGATGGACAGCTCAGAACCAATTAGACGACTTGGACTTCGCAGATGACCTAGCCCTCCTATCACATACACACGAACAAATGCAGATAAAGACAGCCAGCATAGCAGCAGTCTCTGCATCAGTAGGCCTCAACATACACAAAGGGAAAACCAAGGTCCTCAAACACAACATGGAGAACAGCAATACAATCACTCTTGATGGCGAAACTCTGAAAGACGTGGAATCCTTCACATACCTGGGAAGCATCGTCGATAAACAAGGAGGTTCAGATGCAGACGTCAAGGCGAGGATTGGCAAAGCTAGAGCGACATTCCTTCAACTGAAGAACATATGGAACTCAAAACAACTTTCAACCAATATCAAAGTCAGAATCTTTAATACCAACGTCAAGGCAGTTCTACTGTACGGAGCTGAAACTGGCAGAACTACAACAACCACCATCAAGAAGGTACAGGTATTTATTAATAGCTGTCTACGCATGATACTCAACATCCATTGGCCGGATACTATCAGCAACAGCCTTTAGTGGGAGAGAACCAACCAGCTTCCAGCTGAAGAGGAAATTAGGAAAAGACGATGGAAATGGATAGGACATACATTGAGGAAATCATCAAACTGCATTACGAGACAAGCGGTAACTTGAAATCCTGAAGGGAAGCGGAAAGGAGGAAGGCCAAAGAACACATTACGTCGGGAAATAGAAGCAGATATGAAAAAGATGAATAAGAACTGGAAAGAGCTTGAAAGGATTGCCCAGGACAGGGTTGGATGGAGAATGCTGGTGAGCGGCCTATGCTTCTTCACGAGGAGTAACAGGAGCAAGTAAGTAAGTATTTGAGTTCTGTGGAGAACGTTTCCCCAACACCAAGAGTGGTTTTGGGATCGTTTCTCTCAGAGCTTTTACTATTTCAAAACCCTGAAGAACGAGGTTTCTTTCACCGTTTTGGCGGTGCTCGTTTATTTCCACATTTGCAGCTCGTCTCTCAATACAATCACTTAGGCTAAGATCCTCACAGACATATATTCTGGATCCAATCTGTTAACGTCAGTTATTTAGTATCAAACTTCTTTCTTCAACCGTACAGGAGGTAGCTTTTAAGAGGCGGTTTTTCTGAGTACATTTAGAATCCAGCCTTTGTCCTATTCTAAGGCTGAATCCTGAAACTGTTTCTGGGAGTAGCTTATTTATTAAGAACTTAATATGACTGAGGTTGTGCTCAAATCTAGGCTTTAGTTCCTTATGAGAAGATTCACCTAAATTTTGAAAAATAACTGACCTATCATCGAGGTCCGTCTTGACGCGCTGTAGAATTTTATTTCCTGAAACCCCCTCTTCCTTGCAATCCGACTTCAATTCAGCGTCAAATGCAGATTTTACATCCTGTTTTCTTAATTTTCTTCTTTTAGGTGTGACTGTGAGCCAGTCATTTACCTTATTTTGTTTCTTGATCACTTACTCTGTATTGTTTAGAATTGGCTCCCCTATAATTTGTAATGCATTGATATGCTAATCCTCAACTGAACCCACAGATTCAAATGCCTCGTTACTGTGTTTAGATATTTTCTTCTCCTTCTTTGAGCGCTTCTTCTTTCTACTTGTAACAATGCCTACATCCATATGCTTATGTGATCCCTGATGAGGTCCGCCTATATGTTCTCATTTAAATCTAGTGCTGGACTCATAATAGCGCTTTTAATTAACTCAAAAGCCGAGTTCTGTTCATCTACTAATGCCTGTTTATCAGAGGGCAATTTCCTAGCTATATCTACCAGCCCGGTTGCCTCTGGAATCAGCCAAGACTTTGTAGAACAACGTTCTTTGCACAGCCACCGTGATAATGGCTTACGACACGGCTTATATGCAGCCGGTGTGAGTTCAGTTCACACATAGTCATGCCACACATAGTCAACAAACGATAAAATGCTTCTCGTCTAAAAGACAATTGACGTTGTAATAGTACCACATGTATGTACACTTAACTCTTGTTGCGAATCATAAACGGCACTCACGTCACTAAATTTTTAGTTTGCGGATGGTAATGTTAACAATTTACGTCGAATCAATATTGAATTTCAGTGTGAATACCTTATTTTGAAACAACTCAACTTGACCCACTATCTCTGCAGTCGTGAAAGTAAGTGACACTGACATGAAATTTTCTTCATTCTCTATATTCGTAAATAACAGTGTATTTTTACGAACTATCCAGACATAAATAATTTATTTGATTGCATGATTTCGTGTTTCAGCAATGAACTTATTGCAAAAGACAATTGTGAAACCACTTTCTCATGTCACTGCGCTTGGTTGATTCTTGGCTCAACGTGACCCAACAGATCGCTTGCACATTAACAATACGCTATGCAATTTAAAGTTACTCGTTTTTTTCTACATATTTTTCCTGATAAGAAAATTGTACGTTAGTATCTCTGACAAAATAATGTTCACGATGAAAGCCCGCAGTGTTACGAGGTTTTTATAAATGTTCCTCATATGACAGATTAGTGCAGACAATCAATTACCATAATATCGAGCGAGCGATCAAAAAGTAATGTCTTTAATACATATATCATATGCAAACCCATTGATACCAATAAATCCTGCTAAAAACGATGAGTTTGAAATTGTTTGTTCATTTTAGAGTTTTGTACAATTTTGAAATTTGAACCTCATGTTCAACATGATTCGGTAAATTCTGACCTACGGTGTATTTGAACAGATAGTGTATTGTCATATTCGTTCATTGGTAGATGTTCGTAAACATTATACTTGTGATAAGATTGTTGAAAATTTATTTCTCCGATATGTCATATAAAACTGATAGTATTCGTCCTTTTTTACATTATCAAAACTTATTAAAAGCACTAATTGCTTAAAATGTCTGTTTAACAGAACATCTATGATAAATAACAAAGCAGTTTACAAAAACCATCAAAATATTCCATATGAATATCTGTAAACTAATTAAAATATTCAATGCAAAAATGCATAATATTTATGCACGATTTCTATCTCAGTCAGATTTTTCACTCTGCTCGGTTGACAATCGAGCAGTGAATTAAAAAAGAACTCTGAATTGATGTTAAGCACGAAATATTCATAAAACAATACGAACATAGTGAAGATTTCAGAAAAATGTTCTCGTTCACGGTGTATGTCCAGATAATCTGTTGTGAATATGATCACCTGTAATCATGGGAAATGTAGATGATTACATCACTATCGATGCATTTATATCAATATATGTATCAGTGAAATAATAGACATCTACAGATGTATGGTTATCAATAAAGTAACTTCTCAACTTTCATACATAACAAGTAAACAGTGGGTGTTTTGTGTTTTGATCTGTTAAATACTGATAGAAAATCGTTTGTATAACAGAATATCATATAAATTGAGCCACTCAACTAAGGAGAAGAATTAAGCGATAAATACTTCACCACTCAACGTCTACCTTTCAGCCATTCAGCTTTACATCTTATATTGTTTCATTCAAAATTTTTCATGATGAATTTTATTGGGTGCTGTGGACAGAAAACATTATTGCTTCAAAGTTCTGATAATAAACGGACAGTTATTTGTATTAACATTTAATTATTTATTCAGAACTTACAATAAACGTTGCACAGAACCAACAAATCCAGCCATCACCTTGTATAACATACTAGAATAAAGGAAAGAAAAAAATTCACTTCAATTCATCATGAATCTACATAAGCATCAGTGAAGAAACAGTAATACCATACTAACAAACTCTACCACTTTTAAACTAATATGTAGCTGACTGACTAACTTCATGTAACAGTTCAGTTAGTTTGTTATACTTAATATCGACATCATGTACCCATTCTGTCTAATCTCTAACAGTTGTCTAAACAACGAATTAGTTTCGTCAAAGACTGTATCGTAAAACATTCCAACTACCGATTTCACTAATGTGAAATGGTTGCTTGGAGATATATTGTTCTGGGTTTGCTGTAATTAACATTTTGTTACGCAATCATAACATAAAGATAGTAATAAGAGTCAATTTCTCAAATGATAACATTATTTCATGTTGTTTTGTACCAACAACATTCAGTGTATTCTTCATACAAGATTGCATACGTTTATCACATTCATTCAATGTGTAAAGCATCTTTGTGGAAAACATTGTTGCACTTACAATGACTGCAAAATAATGTAAATAAACCTTCAAGGCAGCTGAACATGTATTAGAAAACAAACAAATCAACAATAATCATTAATCAACAATAGTTTGTAGAAAACTATGATTAAATCAACTTACGTCTTTAAATATCAACCCTAAAATAAAGAGAATGAGGCCGATTCCTGCAAATACACCACATATCATCAACAAGATCGTGTTGAATTTTGCTTCTACATCTTTTAACTTAATACCCATAACAATCGCTAAGATGGTGAACACGGTAGCCACAGGTAGAGAAATAAATATTTCAAACAATCGTACACATGAAATCATTAATGCGAAACCGACAGTCATAATTATCATCTGAATAAAGAAAAACAGTTTCAAATTACCACCAGTTCAGAAATTCAACTGGTCAACAACTGGAGAAATAAAAAAGAATAGTCTTCATTGTACTGAATTCGATTGAAATGTTTAAAAAGGATATTTATTGGATAAAAGCACATAACAAATAATCCCTGCCTAAGTCTATCATAACGACAAACTTGAAATATTTTTAAAGCTAATTCTCTTTTATCCGGTACATACGACCACGTTATGTGATGCTTTTACCTGAAGGGCTTTCAATTACACCTATTTGGGTAAACCAAAAAGTACGATAGCTAATAGTGACTGCAAATTGAAACTACAGATGTTGACTTGTGTATCATTGAACACAATTTCAAAGATAAACAAAGTGTGTCTATGGTCATGCAAATTAAAGTGACAGAAGTCCAATCCGTTCAAATGTTCTGTGTTTTCATCTCATTCCATATCTTACAAATGCATAAAACATCAAACGTAGATGAGAGTAAAATGTACTTGTCCTACGTGTATCCATGTATAAATGTTTCTGAAAGATCTATACGAAGGACAGTTACCTTTTAATATTATATCATTTTCTCTAGTTTTCAGTTAAGTAATAGCTCATGATCCAACCTGATCAACAACGTTTTCAGTTATATATGATATCAATGGAACTACAGAAAGTGGATTTCGAGAGATAACGATATATTGAAATATAACATTGAAAATCATCTGTTCAAGTCAACCTTTAAATATTCTTTTGTCTCAATCTCCGTTATTAAACTACTGTGGCAACATTTGTATTATTCAAAAAAAAACTAAACTAAATTCAATCGATGTTTGGATGAAAATATCATGCACGTAGTTTTAAAACCATATACAACTGACGGTTATAGCGATGAAGGAAATGCTCGTTGGGGATGTAGAATGTAGTTTTCTAATGAATATTATTATTAATCCAAGAACTAATCCGATAAATCTGAAAAACAAAGGAAAGAAATGTACATCATATAAACTCACAGATACAATGGACCATAGTAATGTGTATCAAATTTTCTACATAATCTGTATGCATAAAATGTTTGACTAAATTCCTCAACTTCTCGAAAGTTTGTAAAACTTGTCAAAGCAATCAACAATGCATTAGGTTATGAGTGATCCCTTGAATATTTCATTTTATCACCATAAACGCCCTGATACGGCCGACGTTGTGGAGAATTATCTCTCCCTCTCAATGTGCACTCACATGGACACGCTCATACTGCGGCTGCCAGAGAAATTTTACTCACTGTCTTCACGCGTTAGGGGTTTTGTTTACCGAATCGAGAGGACGAAATGTTAATGTCTGGAGCTTTAACCGCGTAGGTGCGTACAGATAGTCCACCAAGGGGAGTTGGAAAACTATGATTCCAAACCAATGGTGCAAATGGTCTCCAAGATCCTGAGGGACTAAATGACGTATGAACCCATTATTGGTCACCGGCTTACATAAGGCTGCATCTGCTGACGTTTCTCAATTTCCCTGCGGATCAAACTTCTAGGTCGAGAGCGTCGTGTGTAGTTTCCTAAGAAAATTACCAGTATCAGGGCCCACATAAATCGAGTGACATGTGTGGCGCAAATGTATTCGTTGCCCCTTTTACCAATGTTCACGTTTTGAAGTAAAAAGATAAATAAAATTCACCATGATCATTTATCATGTGATGTAACACAAAATGACAATGCATTGAACCGGGATATAAATCAACTATTTTCCTCTCCTTTAATCATAATATTCTTGACCAATATCGATCGAATTTCTCGTCACAGTGTATTAATTAGTTCATTGAATGATACGTAATAGTAATAGATAGGAAATTGTCTTTACGATTTCCAACGAATATCTGTTTTTTAAACATATATTACTTACGTTATGATAAAACCACTGCGAACAACAGGATCTTCAAAATTTTGGAGGCTGTATCTGTCGAATTGAATGAGAAATGTCTTACATGCAATTAGATTTATTTTGACTAGTTTCATCTGACACGTCATCAAATATGAATGCCGTCATCGTTAAACTATCGACAACAGAGATTTGTAGACGATTCATCTTCCAAAATCAATAATTATAACCTTAAATGAAATAATTGAGAATGCACAATACAGTAATAGAGATATTCAATATCATGGATTGCATATTACCTTATCTATACATTCAAGTGCTTATCTCTATCCTTATTCATTGTATTTCAACAAGAATGAATTCATGTACAGAATTTGAATTTCATCTGACTAGTTTGCCGTACAACCTTTAATCGCATCGTTAGGCATTTACACTGACGACTGTTTGAGTCTTGCACATTACCTACTATTCCTCACTGTTTTCCATTATTCTTTCGGATGATTTTCACGAAAGATTCTGTCGTATTGTGGAGAGTCCTGAAAGTATTGAGTATGGCGTGTGATAAATCTTGTAAGATTATTACAAACACGGTTGTTGATAGGTACTGCAAATCTTGCAAACAGCCAACAAGTGATTTCCTACCAAATGTTTAACATTCATTTCATAAATATCTTCTATCCTCTACATATTCTAGTAGAACAAGGCATCAATAAATAAGAATCCTAGGGAATCACTCGATTTTTTAAGAAAAACTCGTTGGAATCATTTGTGCTGAGGTTTCTATATTGTAATTAGCCTGTAACATCGAACCCAACCATAGTTTTTGCTACTTACAACACAACTTATCAACAGATCTAAACTCAACCTTAATTAATACCATTTGATAGAAATGAACAAACTCACATAGAATGATTCTGATGTTCAGTAAAAATTACTCGATAAAATTATACAAATTTATAACGGAATTCACCAATTGCTTTGAATCAACTTTATTAACATATGAGTGCTTATTTTTTTATTGAACTTTGGTTAGGCTAATTTTATACAATACAGTGAAATAAATGGTTCGATTAAAAATAAAACAAAAAGATTTAACTCTTAGTTTATTGTGAACGAATACATGATAGCACTCCGAAGTGAGAATGATCCTGTCGCTCCAATCAGCTTAATGACTAAATGTAGTATCTACAGAGTATTGACGCGAAAAGAAACACACATTGTTAACTTGTTCATTCCGTTGACTATATACATATATCATGTTTCGTGTGTTAGATATTTAGATAGGGATAATTTCTTTATACATGAACCAACAAACAGAAAAATATTTCTCACCCTATGATCAATGACAAACCTGTATACCATTAGACTGTTTGTTAACGGAATCGTCAAGAATGATTGCTATGGAGAATAGAATGTTGAGTGATTTGGTGAACGTCATTCAAAACCATTCTGTTAAAATACAAAATTATACCCTTTTAATTTTATGGTCACTGGTGTTCAGGGTCTACCAAACTCAACGAAACATAGTAATCTCATCATCTACACTGTAAAGCTATATAATAATACAATATATTTTACCTTGCATGACTTGTTGTATTTTCATCCATGTACAGTGAATTTTTTGGCAGTCCCACAAAGATACTGTTGTTATTTCAAAAGAGGAAGTAAATAAATTAAATAATGAATTCTTCATTAACCCACAAATATCAGCTAAAGGAAACACACCAGTCCAAACACCGTATAATGTATAATTAATACGATGATTAACGCCTGATTCAGTTAGCCAACTACAATGTACGAGCAAGTAAGTATATGCATCGGTCCAAGTTGCCATACCTCATTAGCACAACAAGATGGACAACGGACTCATAGAAGTGGTTAATTTAATGGTCGCTATATGTAAAGCAAAGATTGCCTATAACGATTTAGTACAGGAAGGAATAATTGGCTCATAGAAAAAAAGCATGAAGTCATTTTATTCCCATGGTTTAAGGAAAGACAGATGGTGTATTCGCCCATACCATTTTGATCGATTCTGAGCCATGTCATCAAGAGTCTCCAACCATTGTTTACGATAGTCACGCGGACCCCAACCAAGTAGTCTGCATCCATCGGCATGGCTAAGACTAGAAGTCAGTGACTTCAAGAACCGATGTCGTGTTCTGTTTTTGCCGGTCCTAACTCTCTTCCAAGCACTCCAACACTAGTCAGCATTGCGCGTCATCGTATTCGGTGTTCAGGCATACGCAACCCGTGGCCCAACCATCTCAGTCGTGAAGACTCATAACCTCATCAACTGATCTACCATCATTCCCTAATATCATGCGTCAAACCTGACTGTTAGTTACCTGGTGATCCCAGCAGATGCGAGCTATATTCTTAAGACATCTGTAGTCAGATACTAGTAGCTTACGATTATCTTCGTCTTTTAATGTCCACGTTTTGCAACCGTAAATTATAACAGAACGAACTACCAAGTAGAATACTTGTCCTTTAATTGATAGACAGATATCCCGCCTTCACTATAGGTGACTTAAGTTGGCAAAAGCTCAACGAGATGTCTAATTTCATGAAGAGATTTCGTCAGACACCAACCCATTAGGGCTGATCAGACTTCCAAAATAAGTGAAGTTGTCGACGCGTTCGGTTACTCTTCACTTTATTTTTAGTTCAAATGTTGACGCCGGTCAGTCCTGAAGCAATAATTTGCATTTAAAGTGGAAGAAACGAATCTCAAACATCCTGGCATTGTTTTTCAGTGTTACTAAAAGACTGCATTTAATCGGCGTCTTCACAAACAGGATTATATCATATGCCTAGTTTATATCAATAAGTAGAGTTCCTGGTAGGCGATCAATGCCCGAAATTTTAGTCGACCAGAATGCTATATCCAGCAGTAGATCTGTGATAAAATTGAACAAAATTGCCCTTTTTTATATAGTGGGATAATCAGTGATTATGACCAGATGGGATTAAGTCCAACACCCAGATTTCGGCTAAAATATTATCAACCAAATCGCTAAAACTGGACCATCATCCCTGAATACCTACTCAGATAATCCATCTGGACCACCTGCTTTCCCTCATTTCATATTAGCTGTAGCCTTTCAAACTTTGGCTAGAGTATAAGGACTTACTTCAATGTTCCATTTAGGCTGTCTGGGAATGGTGGATAAATGTAGAGTAGCTGAAGTGCCCCTTAAAGTGTTCCGCACATCGTTCTCAACGTCCGAGCTGAGAGCAGATAACGGTTTCGTTCTTTTTTGAGATCGCCCCACTGACATTTGACTTCTTAATTCCAGTTTCTTTTATCAGTTTGAAAAGTTATCTGGTGTTACCTACAGTCGCTGCCGATTCCATCTCTTTTACTTTCGTTGCCAACCACCGCTCTGTTTTTATTTCTAAAATAGATGTAACTAGATAAAACAAGAAATTTTTCAATAAACCATGAACATCAATTGTTCGAATCACACCAATCCAAACACCGTCTAATGCATATTTGATGCGGTGATTAAAGCACGAATTCTGTATGTGACTAATACACATGTGCCGTATTTTTGACATCACATACTCTTATAGTTCTTTGCGTTCTTCAAGATCATTACTTCACTTACATAATCCAACAAATCGTCAGATCGTTTTGTTTACTATTACTAATCAAATTGTGTCAATTTCCTCCCTGACATAACCAGAAGTTATTACATTGGAATATAATGGCTATAAATTGAAGGATAATTATACGTGTAGTTTCCCTAATTTAAATGTTATGAAACTGGATGTCACATAATGATAAAATTCATAACATTCAAGCAAATTAAGTAGGTATGTTATTGTGCATGCATTTTCAGAATCTACACTTCCATTTCACTGTTAACCTTCATTTCGTGATATATACACTAAGTTTCTTAAAAAATAGAAACATACCATAAGAATATTCAAAACATGATGTGTTAGGTGATCAAAACGGCTCAACAAAGTAAATTCGACAGACAGCATTCATATGTTTTAAAGAATTCTTCCAGCTGATTGTAATTCTGTGTCAAGAATTCACTTTGATGAGCATGTCAATTACAACGTTCTATGCTGAAGTGTTTTAAACTACATATATTGACACTAAAGAAGATATTCCTCTATTGACTTTTTGTGCTTTTGCATATCTAATAATTTATTCAAAGTATGATTAATTATTAAGATTGTGAATGCATTTTCACTGTATTTAATTCTTCAGTGAAATGTTGCATTTAACTATCAACTCTTCATTTTGGTCAGTTCATAAATCGGTATTTTTACTGAATATTAAAAAGTATGCGTGCGTTATAATTAGTCTTTCGTACCGATTAGTCTAGTAGTTACATATGTTTTTCAATGAACGCCAACATAAACAATTTCACACAAAATAGATTGATTTAAACGTCTAATGAACAGCCATTACGTTGCATGAAAACCACTTATGATAAGTGATCTTGCCTTTTATAACTGTTCACACAGTGCCTTTGACAAATAAACCATTAGAATCACGATCTACATTTTGAAAATGATGTATCGATTCACTGCTTAGGATCAACAGATAATGGAAACCCTCAGTCATATGTCTAAACATCACGAATCCATGATAAAAATAACAATGAAAACGCTTATTACTATAAGCATTTATCATGTTCGCATATTTACAAATTTTATAAATGATAATAATTTTTGTTAACTGTGTTCACAGATACAAAACACAAAGTTCTCATAAAACACGAAACATCAATATGAATTTCAAGTGTAATATAAGTTGACGTCGAAATGTTACCTGATTTATTAATGATCAGGCACTTGAAACTTTGTGAAAACGGAAAACAAAACAAAAATAGCGATGTTAGGGACTTTGTTGTGTGTTATTTTTCGTTGAGGCCAAAGACTTCGTTGAAGATAGGACATAAATTTGTTAAAATACTCTGAACATTCATGCATTATTGTAATTTAGTTTGGAATAGGAAGAGAAGGAAGTTTACATTTGTAATATCGATTTCAAATTGAATCTTATATTCAATAACTATTCAATGTTATCAATTAAAAATAGAAACAGCAGTCATTTAGACTCATTGTAAGTATCCATCATAATAAGCATCTTCACGGTTACAATCTGTCTACGTACTGGTCATAGTTTTGTATACGCACAATGCTTTTGCTGATATCTTCTTCAAGACTAACTCTAATACATAATTATATACACATAGCCCACTCTGGCTTCCGGACAAGTCAATTCATTCATGCTTCTTAAGTTGCATTTTGACATTGCAAACTATTCGCCTGTCAATCTTGAATGTGTTTAGATCAGGATATGAGCATGTATTGCATATCCTACTCATCACACGTCCGTAGCTTATTTTTATTTGGCTATAAATATATATCAACGCTTGATTAAACTTAGTTGACTCACATGCTTTCTCCGCTGCATGTCAATTTTCTTCGATCTATTCTCTTCGGTTCGTTTCTCTGCTCACTTGTCTGGACAAACGTTTGTATGGAATATCCGCATTTGAAATTCATCCTTGTATTTGGCTCAATTAATTCCGTTTTTCATTAAGACGAGTTAAGTCGGTAATTGTGTACGAGTATTAGCGACATGCATATTTCAATAACATAAGAAACGATCTAATTGGACTCAGATTAAGGATTACTAAAAACTGGGTGTACTTTACTTCACTTGTTTTGAGTTCCATTTGTTCTTTGATTTTACAAATGCTGCTCTCGCTTCGCCATTCTTCGTCATCACATATGCATCAAATCCTCCATGTTTCAAGATGGTGCTGCTGACTAAGTACGTTAATGTTTCCAACTCTTACAGTGTTTCTCGGAACACTCACCTGTCTGATTAGGCGAATAGAATCATTA